AATATCTCTTCATACAACTTATACTGGAGATATGTCTGTTCACAAAACTCATACTGAAGATATGTCTCTTCATACCATTATCATCGATGCTAAACTTAAGCCAGCTAAGATCAACTTTCCATCTGTTCTACCACAATCGTCTGTGGAAAATCACTGGCTTTTTAAAGTTGAAGAAAATCTCGATATTACTGACAAATCATATAAAAACTATTCATCATTATACACAATCACCAATGGACCACACACTGAAACATCAACAAATGCCGTTCTACAAGCATTCGTTTCGGCCTACAATCAACATCATGATATTGTTCTCTCACCTGATGACATGTGGATGGTGGTGTGCATGCACGTTGCTGCCCATGTTAATGCAAATGCTGAACAACTACGCTCTCTTTTTGTCGAACATCAAGAAGGAAAAATACAGTTGACTGTTCGAGACTTTCAGAGAGAAGACGAATGGGATGACTTCTTTGATGCAATGAAAATGAAAATCACACAGAATGTCAAGAATGATGTGTGTCGCGTGTTGACTGCAGATTTTACAACGACAGGCAAAGTCGAATCGATTCTCTCAACTGCATGTATTATGCACGCATTCAAACCTTACTTCGACTACAATAGAATGATGGACATCTGTGGAATCCGTCAAGTTCATTTTATGGGTAAGTGCTGTCACTTATTTGTACTCGAACTACTTTTCCAGATCGATAATTATGGTTTTCAAATCATCCGGATCTCTTCGGAAGGACGACTCTTTCTGGTTTAATTTCGATGGGAAAATTATTGAAAAAATGAACAGTATTTCTAACCGAAAACTCATCATATTAACCAAATGCTGATTACAGAAAATTACCAGAGTCCTGATTAGTCATTCTGAGCACTAAAAATATTGGAAAATAGCTTGATTGAAGGTGCCAAAGTCTCCATTCTTTAATGTTTCGTTCCCAAAGAACTCGAACACATGTCAAAATCCAATTTTGTCCATTTATAAACATAACTAAACCTTAGCACAACCTTTTACTATCTTTTCGCAAAAAGCAGCCATCAGTTCCAGGTTCTTAGAGAACAGAAACTTATGTGAATTCTGAAAATATGCGTTCATTTATCAAGATGATAGTGATCGATTGATATTTAAATTCTCGCTATCTATCCCAAATCAAGAAACATACGATCCTCATTTGGATCATGAAACTATCAGGGTGCTGAGCAAAGCCCTGCTTATAACGTTTTAAGCATCAATATCGAAAACAGTTGCCTAAATAATCACCATTGAAAAACTACTGGAGACATTTTTTGGAAATTATAGTGTTTGAGATACACTTACTTCTTTTCGTGAAGGGCAGAATAACTTAAGGTCAATATTCGAAAAGTGAATGCACTAGTCATTTTGGCTGCAACAAACTGCCCATGAATACTTGATTCAGGTATGAAATTTCGATTGGTACTTAAAGATAAATAAATAAATGTTAAAATATTTTCAAAATAGTTTGGAAATATCAAAACCCTAACTTGGAATTGTGCTCTTTTTTTCTTGGCTTCTTTTCGTACTTGAATCCCACTCCCCCAAAAGAAACTAACTATAGGATTCGATAAAGGAGCTTCCACTCCATCTGTTTCTATATACCACCTATTTGTAGAATTTCTAAGTTTGCTTATGATTTATAGTAGCACTTTTCACGACTGAATGTCATTGTGTGAAACTGTAGAATCACGTATTTCCCTATGAAGATCTTTTTTGATTGCACATAGTTTGATGCGTTTTTACATGGGCTACATTATTTTACGAGTAGAATTTCTTCACAGATAGACAACAAGTGGATTATGACCAAGAGCTCATAAAAGCATCTACTATAATAATTCTAATAATATGTGATTTTTAAATAAAAATCTTATTTAGTATTTCAAGTATTTCTTCACCAATTTAAGTACAAGTATTAACTTTATCAAAGATAAAATGTTCAGTACAAAAATCTCTATAAACATTGTAAATATGACGCGATTGGAAGAAATTCAGTGTAATCACAATAGAATTCCCATGAAATCATCTTTAGTATATCACCAAAAATGGGTTGAAAGATCATGAAAGGTTTAAGAATACCAAAAGCAAAAAAAGATTGAGCGATTGTTTTCTTAACTAAGTATTCTGTCTATATTGAGTTACATCTAATTCTATTCTAACATTAACATAAGAAATCATGTTCATAATGATCATAGTTAAACTTGTTTGTGTGAAACAAATCATTTTTTTGCACGTAACAAATTCAATATTTTCGAAACATTCAATGTCGATATAGTATAAGATTAGCGAAGAATATTGACACTACTTGTTTTAATATCAAAATACTCTATCATGAGTGTGACCGAACTGTTAAATAATTTATTAGAGCATTGGTTTTGTTTTCATAGGTACTCTAAATGATTGGCAATCACTTTATAGCAAAACACAACAATTACAATCATTCGGTAATGGCACTTTTCGAAATTATATAGATGGTGTTTTGCCGATTTTTGATGAGTTTATTAAAACGTATCAAGGAAATGTGAATAAAAACTTCTGGATTAAAGTGTGTGATATTACACGAGACACGAGCCTCAGATATGGTGGTGAAGGTTCTGGAAAATTGATCACTGGTTGGGTGTTGCAACTATTTGGGTTGAAGACTGGTGATGTTCGCGATCCTGCTTATATTAATTTGCCCAATATTCGTGTACCAGTCAAACTCGAAGACGAGAAAACCGGTAAAGTGACACAATGTTACATCGTTGGTGGATTTCATGGTATTTATTCGGCTGACAATCAGCACAAGCCGGTAATGAGTCTGTCGGTTATTAAAGAGATAAAGGCATCTATGTCGAAAGAGGAAATGTCGGCTAAAGATCCAGATGGACATTATGGTTACTTGTAGACGTTTGTTATACTAAACATTTTTGAATATAACCTTCGAATTTGGACAATATTAATTTATTTGATAACTTGTTATCCAAGATTTTATTCTATCACTTTCAATTATTCATTATCTCTTGCTATTCCTTAACTTTCAAATAAAATCATATAAACAAGAAGTATCAGAGTTGATTGATTGGCCTCTTAAAAATTGATTTATACAAAAAATATTCAAGAAAAAAACCAGTCTAAATTAGAGCGAAGTTTTATAATTCGTATCTATGCAAAAATCTCAGCATGAAATATCTATTAATTCAGTGTATTTTGCGGTGTGGGTGTGGGTGTGTGGGTGTAGGTGTGGGCGTGGGGTGTGGGTGTGGGTGTGGGAGTGGGTGTGGGTGTGGGTGTGGGTGGGTGTGAGTGTGGGCGTGGGTGGGGTGTGGGTGTGGGGCAGACACCAGCGTGGCCGCCGTCACTCCTGATCACGGTCACGACCGTGATCGCGACCAATTTTTGAAAAAAAAATCGTGACCGTAACGTGACCGTGACCAAGACCTGGTCACGACCAGTCACGATAAATTTTCAATATGGCCATATCACGGCTATTTTTTTAATCTCATGCGAGAGTTAAATCAATTGAAAAAATTTTCTTTGGAGATTCTTTTTCAAGGGTGATTAGATTCTACAATCAGTGTGGAAATCAGACATATTTTGTTATATCTGATTGTAAATTCCTTTCTTTTCTTTTTTCACATGACTAATAGCCATTATGTTGTAATTTTCATAAATAGAAACAACATTTATTCAGCGTTTTATGACTCCTTTCACACTAACACAATAACACGGTAGGAACTTCAAATTAAAATGATGGATGTTTCCACTTATAAGTTAATGCATCAGTCAAAATCTAGAATGAACTAACCCTTTGTAAAGTTCAATTGAACATACAATTAAACATTATTTTAAACAACGCATTAACTTTAATGTGGTTTTAAGAAGTGTATTAACTTAATACACTTTTAAAACAGTGGTGAATCTATTATTCGGGAGGTAGATGGAGTCCCATCCAACAAAACATATTTTGACATGCATTCGAAATAGTATGAACGTGTTTTCGTTCGTTTTTGCTGGATAAAATCGAAACAATCTTCTCGACTGAAGTGCAATCACCCTGTTGCACCCCTCAATCTCTCACGGTTTCAAATTGGTATTATATAAATATTCGTTTTCGCAGTGTCATTGGAGGATCTAGGAGTTTCAAAGAGGAGAGCGATCCTGGGTGAAAATCGCTTTTTAGAGATCATTCAAGGTAGGATCATCTCATCTTTCGTGTGTTTTTTTAGACAAAAACAGGAAAATTTGTCTCAAATGAGGGGAGGCGACTGCCCTGTTGCTTTTCTCCTAAACCCATCATTAGTAGTGTAGAACAGGCCTATATGTATAATACATGTGCAATAGGCGACAGAAAGATATCACATTTATACAAACAGTAAAATTTCCGTGACTCACGGTCACGTCACAGTCACGATCGTGACGTGACCGTGACTAAAAATTGTTGGTCACGCCGATATCTAGTGTGGCGTATGAGTGTGTGTGGGTGGATGTGGTGTGTGGGTGTGGACGGATGTGGTGCGTGGGTGTGGGTGTGGATCTTCTTTTTATCTACACCCACACCCACACCCAAACCCACCCACACCCCACACCCCACACTCACACCACCCACACCCACACCCCACACCCACGCCGGTACCCACAGCCTACCCACACTCGCCCCCACACCCACACCCTCCGCCACAGCCACACCCACCCACGCCCGCACCCACTCCCATACCCTACACCCACACACCACCCACAGCCATAGACACAGTCACCCATACGTTTCTCTTATAAGGAAATGTTTGCAGGTATGTCCCGGAGACTTCATTGAAAAGTATGTAGGTTTGTCAAGTAAAGTAAGGTGTGGGTGTAGGTGTAGAGTTTTGCTTTACACCCACATTCCGCACGCCCACACCCCGCACACCCACATCCATTTGTTTCTCAGCAAGAGAAGGTTCCTCTGTACACGCGCGTATTTCTTATTAGTAAATAAACTATTCTTTCTGAAAAGTTTTTTTTACATTTCCTTTTTAACATATTCGAGATTATCCTTATATAACCGAATAGTCGGATGATCAGGATGTAGTGAATGTTCTACTATTTTAAGCGCTTGTGCGCAATATAAAACTGCTTTTGAATGTTCTCCCATTTTAGAAGACACCATTCCAATATGTCCATAAGACTGAGCCAAACTCGGATGATTCGAAGGAAGAGTTTTTTGTCGAATTTCAAGGGCTTTTTCATGAGACGAAAATGCTTTCGAGTATTCGCCCACCTTACCATAAATCAAGCCGATATTATTGTAAGACGTAGCCAAATCAGGATGATTGGAACGAAGAGTTTTTTTCAATATTTCGAGGTCTTTTTCATAATATGAAAGTGCTTTCGAGTATTCGCCAATTTCATCATACACCGAACCGATGTTACTGTAAGAACTAGCTAGATGGCGATGATTTGGAGTAAGGGTTTTTTGGTAGATTTCAAGTGCTTGTTGAAAAAATGATAGTGCTTTCGAGTACTCGCTCATCTTATAATATACCATACCGATATTATTGTGAGAAGCAGCTAAAGCAGGATGATTCGAAGGAAGAGTTTTTTGTCGAATTTCAAGTGCTGTTTCACCAGCTGAAAGTGCTTTCGAATACTCGCCCATCTCACCATACATCAAGCCGATGTTATCGTACGAAGTAGCCAAATCAGGATGATTGGAAGGAAGAATTTTTTCTGATATTTCAAGACCTTTTCTATAATATGAAAGCGCTTTCGAGTACTCGCCAATGTCATCATACACCGAGCCGATGTTGTTATAAGAACTAGCGAGATGAGAATGATCTGCAGGCAGAGTTTTTTGGTAGATTTTAAGCGCTTGTTGAAAAAATGATAATGCTTCCGAGTACTCGCCCATTTTATAATATACCATACCGATGTTGTTGTAAGAACTAGCCATATCAGCGTGAGTAGGAGAGAGTATCTTCTGAAGGATTTCATTTGATTTTTGATACAATATAATTGCTTCTGCATATGTCTCTTGGTTGTCCTTGACTACTCCAAGCATATGATAAATATTTGCTTTTTCATGATCATCAGCTGTCTGATCAAGCATGACTTCATACACTTGTTGAGCTTTGTCAAACTGATCAAGTTTAATCAGTAGGTTACCCAATCGATACCATCCTTTTTCTTCCGGAAATGTCTCTTCCCGTATATATTCAGTTAAAGCATGCAATTGCGGATCATTATCACTAGTTAGTGTTAAATCCACCTGCCAAAGACGATCATTTCCATCAATTTGTTTCGTTTGCCCGATTCGAAAGATGGAATGCATGGAGAAAAGAATTTCTTCTTCTCCCTCATAATAACTCACATCACGAATATTGGCGAATGGTGTTGAAGATATTGAAGGATCAATTTGGATGACGAATAAGATACCCACTAGATCGTTAGCTTCACTATTTGACAGAGCAAAAGTGAGTGATATTTGTCGATTCATACTAGTCGACAAGAAATTATTGAATGATAATAATCCACCTTTGATCCTTATCAATTGTTCAAAGTCTGTGTGGGATAAACCCAGACCACGATATACAGTAAAAGTATCCGAATGAGTGTGACCAGCATATTGTTGTGAGTGAAGTTGAGTAATCTGTTTGTGAAGATCTCGAACGAAAAAACCCATGTCAATGATTAGTTCCACTTCCATCATTCGTAATGCCCGATTCAACATTGAATAAAAAGAACATCCAAAAGTATACCACCAGATGGGAACATGCTTTTCATATTCTTGCTCAAGTTTATCAATAAATGCAGGTTTATTCATATCACCAATGAATTGTTCACGACAATACGATATAAATTCGTTGATATGCTGGCGTTCAAAATCAATTGTTAAAAGTATTTCCTTTAGTATATGTGTATACATAAACGATTTATCTAATTCATTTAAATTTTGATTTGTAGTGCCAGTAGTTGGTGGGACAAAACTCATAGAAATGGTGTTTTGTTCATACATTTGTATAGCTTGTTTGAGTGCTTCATAGATAGGTTTAATATCTGTGAAAACACCCTTGACTTTTGGCCATTGTTTTGTCCATTGTTCATCACAAGTTTTTTGGTCACAGAAAATGTAAATGAGGCTAATCTGCCGTATTTCATGGATAAGGGGAACGATTGTTTGTCCAAATGCATCTGAAAAGATCATGAAAATTTCTTCTTCTTTGACGTCGGTGATAAAATTGACACATTCATCGGCATTGATGAAGGTGTTAACAATGTTAACAATTTCTCTTAATTTAGAAATTGTATTGATGGAGTCTTGATTGTGAACTTCATCGATCGTTGCATCAAGCCAAACCAGTACAAAGTTTTGAATTCGTGCCTTAGGTGCTCGTCGTAGCCTTGTAGTTGTGCGGTTTGATGGTATAGCAGCAGCAGAATCATCTGTTGTTTGCTTTCTTTTCTGGCTCATGTTGTGTATCAATTAGGCGAACAATATAGATAATGATGAAAAATGAAAAAATGTCGCATTTTATATGATGTTGAGTTTTTTTCTAGATTTTATAAATTAGTTATACCTCGTCTTACAGACATCAGGAGAGATAAACTTTGATAAAAAACGAATGAAAAGAACTTTAGTTTATTGTTGTGAATATTGTGACTAAGAGAACAAAGATCTTCAACAAAAAAGAATCGTGCTTTTTTTGTTTTCAAATCTATGCAGAGGTTTTTGTCTTCAATTTGCAGTAAATTGTGAGAAAGATAAGGACGAACAAGTCATCTTTGTGCATTTATAGTAGAGAATTTAAAATTTTTTGACTCTGGTGACATCTTCAGTTCGATACATTTTTTATTTGTTGATTTTAATCAATATGTTTATCAGAAATCTAATGAATAGAGGGTGTGGGTGTGGGTGTGGGTGTGGGTGTGTGGGGTGTGGG